GGCCGGAGGCTCGCAGGGGAGGGTGCGCAGGGGGAGCGGGCAGGGGGGCCGGCCCCGGATGCATCTCGCAAACTCATTATCGGAGTAATTTACACAGACGAGTTTCGGCTCCGAACACAATTTCTCCTGATGCAGGCATGCCCGTTGTTCCGTGCGGGTGTGTATGCGAGGCCTCGCGCGCGCCCTGTCTTGGGAATGAGTGGGGGCAGGTGTCTGTGCCTGGGGCTGGGTCCTCTCCACTCCCGCCCCTGAGTCCCTCGGCCTCCTTCCCGCTTCCCCAGCTCCCCTTGCCCAACCAGGTGGCACCCTTGGGCGTCAAGACCATCGCCGGCCTCGGGGACAGTGTACGGAGGCTCCTCCAGGTGGAGAAGGAGCAGGAATACCAGTTGGCCATGGTGAAGACCCAGGACACTCTCAAAGAGACGGAGGGGCCCGACATGAAGGAGAAAATGAAGGAGCAAATCCGACAGTGGTTTATCGAGTGCCAGTCAGTGTCCCCAGCCTTAGCCGGCTCAACCCTCCGCCCCTTCCCCTCCTCCCTCCAGGGTCCCCCACACCCGTTCTGCCCCCTGGTCCAGACCGGCTCCTTTTTTTCCGCATTTACCCACATCCTTCCCGACACACTGCTGACACCTTCAGCTGAAACCTGGGGCCCCCCACCTGCAGGACCATCTCCGCACTCGACTTCCCAGTGCCCCAGCTGGAAGAGAAAATGCCAGAATAAGACAGGAAAAGCACCCTGGAATGTCCCCTGAGTGCTCTGTCCTTTCTATTCGGAAACTATCTGTTCCTTCCCTCTCTTCCTCAGTCTCCCTGGTCCTTCATCTTTTCCCATCTTTCTCTCCATCCATGTATTCACCCATCCACCCCCCCTTCTACCACCTCCCACCTACCCATCCTTCCACCCTCCCGTCCATCCATCCATCCACCCACCCGTCCACCTCTCTGACCGCCTTATGTTCACTTAGTGCCCTTACTGGCCGATTCCCTGATTATCCAGATGAGTCTTTAGGTGGATCCTACATGATCTTTGCAGACAAGACTCCAGAACAGGTACCCTGGAGGTGGGGGGTGGGGGGGCAGGAGACTTTCTGGAGTCTGAGGTTACGGAGAATACTGGGGTGTATGCTGAGGGAGGCGGAGGTGGCTGGAGGAAGTATGTGTATTTAGCAAAACCGCCTGGGGAGCAGGGGGCGCCTGCGTCCAGAGAAGGCTTCCTCGGCCAGGGGGAGGAAATGTCTGCTAAGATGACCGTGGCTCTCGAAGCCTCCAGGCCGGGGGAGAGCAGCAGCTCTGATCGGGACACCACGTGCCCTGGTGCCCCTCGCGCTGGACTCTAGCAAAGTCTCTGACTGTCGGCCACCTGGACCCTCCAGTTCCCCTGGGCCTCTGGGACCCTGAGTCCACCCCCGGCCACAGGCCCTGGCTTCTCTCGCGCCTGTAAGATCCCCTGGGTCTTCTCTGAAATGTCTCGTATCCTTGGTCACAGGTGAAAATGGAACTGGAGATTCAGGCCCAGGAGGGTAAAAAAAAGGACCAAGAGAAAAATAAAGAGAAGGAAAAGGAGAAAACGGAGAAGAAGAAGAAGAAAGAGAAGGAAGAAAAGACCAAGGGAGGGGTGAGGAAGGGCCCGCGCGCGCGGCCGGGCAGCCGGGGCGGCAAAGCCGGAGCAGGCCCCCGGCGGGAAGGCTCGTCTGCGCGGGGTTTGGGGTCCGAGCTGGTGATGGGCGGAGGCGAGGAAGTCAAGGTCAAGGACGCTTCTCTTCTAGGAAGCTGATGCGACGCTGAAAGTCATGCCATCCAAGTTCGTCCCCATGATTAATGCTGGGCACGAGGAGTACATGAGTAAGAAGGAAGAAGCCTGGGAAGATGTCCGGGCCTTGCGGGGCCTTAGGGGGACCCTCGGGCCTGGGGAGAGTGGACGGACACGGGCCGTGTGGGTCATGAGGCGGCAGCATGGATGTCCGGCCGAAAGGAAAACGACGAAAGCGGGGAGGAGGGGCCAGCGTCATGGGTTTGGGTCCGAATCCTGCGGCCGCGGGCCTCGGGCCCCGGCCTCCGTCTGTGCTCTGCTGGAAGCCGCGGCAGGCAGCCGAGTGCGGGGAGGGGGCCCAGCCCGGGCCAGGCTCCCGGGCCACGTGCGTGAGCCTGCGTGTGAGTGTGTGCGGGGACTCGGAGCTCCACGTGTCTGTCCATCTGTCCATCTGTCCACGCTCAGATCTGTGGGGGAACCGGAATGACAGCGTACACCCGAATCCGAGTTTTGACCCCGAGACCCTCCGGGAGGAGAAGAGGAAGGAAATGGAGCAGGAGATCCGGATCCAGGTGGGCGCGCTGGCTCAGGGCTCCCTCTTTCCGCCGGGGCCTCCAGCTGCTCCGCTCTGTCCCCTCTGTCCTCTCTCCTCATGCCCCGGGTGCGCCCATTCTCTGAAGCATCCTCGAGGTCCTGCCTCCCCCATGTAGTTCTTCTCGGTCCATCTGGGTCCCCACTGTCCTCTGCCTCCCCTTGGTCCCTCTGTCTCTCTGGGGTGCAGACGCAGCCTGGAGGTGAGGGGATGGGAGGGGCTCTGAGCCAAGGTCGCACCCACCATCATCCTCACCTACTGTTAAAGAACTCCTGTGACAACGTGCCCCGCCCCGTGTGTGGTCGGGCAGCCAGGGTCTGGGGAGGACAGGTGGGAGAGGTAAGGGGATGGGAGGGGCTCTGAGCCAAGGTCGCACGCACCATCATCCTCACCGATTCTTAAAGAACTCCTGTGACAACGTGCCCCGCCCCGTGCCAGGTACCTTAGAAGCGTTAGACCACATGAGCTTTCCCCAAACCCCTGAAGTAAGCTCCGTGATTTTCCCGCCATCACACGTGAGCATCCTGAGGCTGAGAGGCCACGCAGCTGCTCAGGGTCACACAGACTCTAAAGGGTGGGTCTGGGACTTCAGCTGAAAGCCTGATGACTTGGATATGTGTTAGGATTGAGCGTGGACAGCTGCAGGGACCAGGGAGGGACACCAAGGCTGAGGGTTGCCAAGAAGGTTCCTAGGACGGTTGGTGGCCGCCTGTCACCTTCGCTGGGCTCGTCCGGCTCTGCTCCGAGACTCCTGTCCTCCTCCTCCCCTCTGCCCCGACCCTCACCTCTCCCACCTGTCCTCCCCAGACCCTGGCCGCCCGACCACACGCTCTGCTGTCTCCCCAGGTGGATGAGCTGATGCGACAGGAGCTGAAGGCCTTGCACCTGGCTGTGGACAGGGAGGAGGGGAGACCCTTGAAGGTTCCGAAGGCAAGATGAGGGGCTTGCCCTGGTACGGGGGAGGGCACGCAGCGGGGGAGGCGAGGGACAGAGGCCCGTTTCCTGTGCGCTTGTTCCCAATCAGAACAAAACTGGGAAGAAACCCGGGAAGAAGAAGAAGGAAAAAGACTTGACCTTCGGCAGGTAGTGGACCCCCCGCCTTCCTGTGGGTGGCGGAGTGAGCCTCGCCCAGGAAGGAGCTGACTGCTGCTCCTGGTTCTGTTGCCGTGTGACCTCGGGAAAGTCACATGACCTCTCTGACTCCGTGTCCTCATTAACCAAGCACCTCCCTCCCCTCTGCCAAACTCGCAAGACAGTGTGATCAAATAGAAGCATAAGAAAGTGCTTTCGAAATGACGAGACAGAGTCAGATGGGCGTGGAGCATTGTTCTAAATGCTCCCTCATTTCTGGCCCTCCCTCCAAGCTTTGCCTTAATCGGCTCTGTCCCTTCCAAAGCCATCTCCCCCGGCCTTCCCACTGTGGGGCTCTGGAGGACTCATCAGCGGTCTCTTTCCACCTGCTCTCTGGCAAAGCGAGTCACGGGCATGTTGGTGCCGGCTGCTGCAATGGCCATCACTCCCAGAGTGTGCACAGCTTAAACGTGGTTTCTAGGGAGAGGGCGACGTGTCACTCAAACGACTGGCTTTCTGATGGCGGAAGGGCGCTGGCCCTTCTCACACACCCCAACCCACGGAGCGCCTGCTGCAGGCAGACTGCCTCCGGGCCCGTGGGTCGGTGCCGTGTCTGGCGCCGCTGGCTGTCCAGTGGCACTGTGGACGTCTTTAACCACAGGGTGCTGGGCGGGAGAGCCCCTTAGCCCCCTCTCCGCATGCCCGTGGCACCACTCCACTCATCTCTGTCTCCGTGTCCCTTTGTCCTCGGGGGACCCGCTCCACCATCCTCTGCCAGGCCCGTGGACTCTCTGTTTAAAGAGCTGGTCATGTTTGGCTTTCTTAAGAAGAGCGAGACAGTGGCGTTGAAAGACTATATTGGTGAGACCCCGCCTCAGCCCCTGCTCCCAGGCTGGGAACGGCCCAAGGCCCCGGCCGCAACCTCCCCGGGGACCGGCTAACACCCTCTGAAGTGAACCTCCTCCTCCTGGCGCGGTCCTCTCTCTCGGCCCTGCCCACACGCGAGCCGCTCACCAGGTGGCCGCCCGTCCCCCAGGTGACTGCCTGTATCTCGGATCTACTCTGAATTTGGCCAAGAAGTTGCCCATGCCTTCCCTGTTTGACATCCGACAGAACATAGCCTTGTATGGGGTCCTTCGGCTTGGTGAGAGACCCCAGGGTGGGGAAACCTGGGTGGGTGCAAGACAGGGTGGCTGAGGGGGGCCTGTCTAGCCCGCACCTCCAATCCTCGGTGCCAGGGACCCTGCTGGAGGTCACACCCAGACTGGACCACTCCAGAAGTCATGTGGGCCCTTGACCTGCTGAGGAGCCCATACTTCCAGCCCCATACGCAGTTACAAGTGACACCCCATCATCTGTCCCAGTCCCGGAAGGCTGGGATCTTACTGAGGTGGCTTAATTGCACCCCTTCGTAATGCAGGGGTGCAATCAGACAGCGTGGGGAGTAGAAGGGACAGAGGGCTCCCTCCTGACACCCACATTTAGCGATGTCATTTGCTAAGCCATCGGAAGCCCTCTGGGCTGCCGCTTTTGTCTTGCTTGCCTGGGGGACGGCTCAGGTATTGAAAGGCGGTGGCACCAGGATCTGAACCTCATCCCACTCAAGCCCCGGCCTTTGGCCTCCCTTTACACAGCGTCCCACCCTCGGCCCCCTGCAGGCCCACCGTTTCTTCCCTCAGGCTCCCCAGATATACATTCCATGGCTCCCCTCATCCGCTCCATCCTCCTGGTGGGCCCCCCTGGCATGGGGAAGAAGATGCTGGTCAAGGCCGTGTGCACGGAAACCGGTGCCAACCTGTTCGACCTGTCACCTGACAACCTGCAGGGCAAATACCCTGGCAAGGCTGGGGTGCAGATGTTGGTGCACATGGTCTTTAAGGTTTGGCATTTCTAGTTCTCAGACTGTGACAGCACAGCAGGGTGGGCTTTATGCTCAGGAAGTCGCTCATCTGCCCAGTCGGTGCAACCTCAGGAGCTGGCCAGGCCCTTACCAAGCCCAGCCGGGAGCTTGTGGACACCTGAAGCCCTGGTGGTGGGTGGAAGTGGGGAGGGAAAATCAGGCTTCAGATGGAGCCCCCCAAACTGGGCAGGGACTCTGTTCACGCTGCGGCGTGGCAGGTGTGCCAAGGGCTGGAAGGCGAGGTCCACGGGATGTAGGACGCTGAGGCTGGAGCTCTGAGGCCACCATCGCCTGAGGCCCGCCCTGCCCCCAGGTTGGACCAGGTGGGGAGGTGAGCCTCGCCCGGAGATGTCACATCAGGTTCCTGTTCTCTGACCCACTCAGGTGGCTCGACTCTTCCAGCCCTCTGTGAT